TTTCAGAAAAAAAAACAATATACTTTTCTAAGTACACTTTCTTTAACATACGGTCTTTTGCTAATTTTGATTTTAAAATATTATAAAAAGTACACTTGTATGTATGTTACCCAAGAAACGTTCTAAATATATTACAATACACAAAATGTTTTACGTAATGCTTTCTACATTTAAAAAATGTAAAATGTTGTATTAAATATGTTTGTGTTAAATACAACATGTTCAAACGTCTTGACTTTCAAAAACATGGTCATTGATCAAAATGTCTTAGATTTTTCATCACACGTAACTAAACGTAGACATATTTCTTTGAAACTCCAATCATTAATTATCATCATAATTTATGTAGTAAAGAATAAACGAAGTGAATATATACTAGGTTTTTATTTTCGTCACTTGTTATTCGGATAAAGATATTTATGACTCGAAAACACGTATACATCCATAGACGGATTAACTGAGATTGTGTATTATTGTAAATATTTTCGCACGCGCATAACTTATGACATAGCGGTAAAAATGACAGTATATAAAATAAAGTATTATAAAATAGTAAATGAAATGATCCAGGTTTTCTTTACCTTTTACTTAGAATTAAACGAGTTAACATATGTAATACAGATATACTATCATATACAATGTCCTTGTCTTATTATGAGTAATCTAATTAAAAATAGATACTGCTAAATCATACGAAAGGATAATGATAACGATCACAATTCAAATAATTATTAAACTGATAATTTGATGAGCTGCAATACAATCGCGAACAATACGAGAAATATCCTGAATCTGTTGATAAAACAAAAGATGATTTATAGGATTCAATAGCAATTATATTCAATTGTTGTAGCGTGCTATTATAAAAACGTGAAAATTTCATAACAGGATGTTCTACGTATCAACTTTATATTTCATGATTGTTCCTTTAGCGAAAGTTTTGATTTTTCTTCTGTTTTGTATTTCTTTTATTTTGTATCTCGATTTTCATTACAAGATTTGTAAATTTTTTGTAAAGACAAAAATATATAATTATATTGTAATAAGAAATTTCACTTTATGTGTTTTATCTTCGCGTCTTCAACTACACATTTATTTCTTCCATTATTTACTACGCATATTAAAAATCTGTATTTTATTATATTTAAGTGATATATGAAAATACGTTAATGCTATTATCATTTTTTAACGTTAATAATACACAGACAAAAGCTTGAGTGGAAACTAAATAATCTATCTTTTGCTAAATGTTTCCGTCTTCATGGAAAGAAATGACTAGTCGCCAATGCGATTGAGCAGCTGAGTAGTATAAAGCGAATTTACTGTATCGCGTCACCGGCGCAGCGTCGACATCAGAAGAGAAAGAGGGCTGAAGGTGGGAGTCGCGCGGCGTACGTGACTGACTGCACTTGGCGCGATCCCACTCTCCTCCTCCTTTCGACATACAATACAATACTCCTTCACAGATCTTTACATTTTTGGAGTTCTGACCTTGTCTATCGCATTCACCTCGTCGTATTATTCGCGATTAAAAATCATGTGTATCTCGCATTAATACTTTCCACCATGTAAACGATAACCAAATACGCCAATGAGAAATAAATCAGGAGAAAGATATATTTTGTAAACTTTTCACCATGTGGCTACTAAGCGAACAACTGTCTTACGCTGCTGTTTAATTTTATCTAATAAAAATAAGAAAGCATAACGTTCGTATAATCGTATCGATTATAACGATAAAGAGTTAAGATTCATCTAAATTGTATCTTAATAAAAATCTCAATTATATTACACACACACACACACACACACACACACACACACACACACACACACACACACACACACACACACACATATATATATGTGTACGTATATATTTGCAATATATTTAAAAGTAAAATAAATCATGTTCTATTATTTAATATATAAAGAAATTAAACAGAAAAAATCATACTCACTTTCGTTCTTCCATTGATTGTATAATTTCCTATTTTCCCATTATTGTGCATTTTATTGGCTCTCATAATGATTGCATCGACCTGTGATATCAGTGTGCCAATATTTTCACATTGTTCTTCTTTTCCATCCAGCCATATTATCTCATCGCCACGTATCGTTTTTAAGTCATTTGCGCTACCTTTATTAGAAACCAATTGTCCATCTTGAAATAATCCGGCACTATACATATTTAACACTTCATTTAACACTTTAAGACCCCTCTCCTTGCCTAAAAATTTGTCTACCACGCATACACCGTACTTGTCCATATCCCTTATCACATACTGACAAATTTTGTCTAGAAGTTCTTCGAGATTACTTCTGTTCCTATGTAGAAAAGGAGGTGAAAAGTCTTCTTCCTGATCCTGTATCTCCGACAAGTTCTTCATACCGTTACGATGTTGAGCAGGTGAGCCAAGATCAGCGTTGCTCAAACTATCGAAAATCCTGGAACTCTCTAAAATGGGATTTAGGAGCTCGGCTTGAGCTCCCAGTATAGTATCCTCTGAACTTCCCTCATACGTTATAGGTGACGTCCAGCCATCAGCTTTGTTATTTCTTGCGCTCCTTGCCTTTCCGCTATTCGATTTCTTCTTAAGATTCTGATTTCTTTTCCGTTGTTGTTGACTCGACTCGATTTCTTCTTGTACACTCGCATCTGCAATCAGAACAAGTATAAGTAAAAAAACTGTCATTTTGACATTACGTTAAGGCGATGTAATTATCTTATAATTAAGATACAATAAAACGCCTTTAACGATAGAATGCAGAAATGCGCAATCAGTAAGGTTGGCTATTTATATCGCGAGTTATCTCGGCAACGAGATTCTTATTGTCATTAAATGTCATTAACGCGCAAAATCCTCTTACTGCGTAAGACTGCATAAAACTGTGTAGAATCTGACAATGAGTTTGACAACAATTTAACAATATGAATATGAAACCGCGCGCGCATACCTGCTGGATGCTTCACGTTCCGACAAGACTCCGAGGTGACGTTACTGACGTTCAAGCTCCGCGGTGCGGCCGAGGTCTTGTTTAGGTTTAGGTTAGGAACGACCACCTTCGGGGCTTTACAATTACCGACAGAGGGATGCCGCTTAGACGGGATCTCGCGATCTAAACTCTCGTTCGTGGCAATTGTGGCAACGGCAGGCAGGGAGAACGGCTCTTCCGCAGGCACGGTGGCCGCGGGATGAGTCGCACAAAACTCCCGGTGGCGTTTCCAGTCGCGTCGTTGATGCTCCTTCGTGCAGTAGAAGACGACTTTGCAGCGCGAACACCTCGACAACTTGTCAGTCTTATCACAGACTGCGCAAATTACTTCCGCACCCGTTCGAACGTCGTCACCGAGTTGACCGAGTGTCTGCATACGACCATTCGGTCCGGACCCGGACATGTTTCAATGTTTACTCCAACGCCGCCGCGGCGATTGTCGTCATCGACGACATTTCTTTCGAGGAAAGTCACAGCTAGCGCGCCGCCTGTAGCTGTACTAGCGTTAGAGTGACTACCAGCTATGAGCTACGTTACGAGTCGGCTACAAATGCGTGTGCATGTGTGTAGCAGTACACTGACATCACTAGCATTAGTAGCACTCCATACCATGGTGGAAGGATTATATGATGTGCTCAGTTTAGCCAAACCACGCCTACTTTTTCTCTGCGTCTTTCTAAGTGCGCAGTCTATCAACTGTGAAACATGGGGCGGTATTCATAATCCGTTTTTTATTTTAAAACCTCAACCTCAATCCTCAGATTGACTTATGACATCTTAAAATTGATTTAAGACATCTTAAGATTGATTTAAGACAGTCTTAAATGTAAGAATCGACTATGAATACCTGACCTGTTTCGCCTCATAAAGTTGGTACTGAATCTTTCCTCGTGCAAGAAAACAGATTCATAGCACAGTCACAATATAAATACATACAGTATGGATACTTAACTTTTTGTGGTCCCCAATTTTTAATGCGCATGCGTCGATTTCCAATCAGAGTATCAATCATGAAACTTTATTCCTAGAATGGAAAGTGAAAAGTGAAAATTTTTACCATTGAAATTAATAGAAAAATTTTTCACTTTTCACTTTCTATCCTAGGGATAAAGTTTCATGATTGATACCTAGGAATGTAACTGCCTTCAGCAAGTTCAAATTGCAAGTTAAGTTAGATTAGCTGGATCTCCTTCGCATAAAATATAATTAACCCTTTCATCTACAATATTGAGACTCGTGATAAGGAAATCGGGCCATGAATATCACGGGTGAGAGCTATGGTACGTCGTTTGTACAAAGCTTAATTTTTTTTTAATTTAAAAGAGAAAAGTATGGTAAAGGATTAATAAAATTAAGTTTTACTAAAAAATTAAATAAAATTTTTTCGGAGACGCTATATTGTATAGACTGTATACGATAAAGTATTCTTGTAATAAAATATGCCTGATGTGTGTGTGTGTGTGTGTGTGTGTGTGTGTGTGTACATATATTATTAAATTACAACTTCACATTTAATTACAATTTTCATGCAATATATTATTTTTTCATACATAATTATTCAATTACAATTTTCATATAGTATTTAATCAATTATTATTTTTAATTTACTTATTACTGTTTAATATTATTATTATTATTATTAATGTGAATATTATTTTTATGTAATGAGTTCGTTAACATTATATTATTATATAATTCTGATTTAAAAATATATTCGCTATAACAAAACAATTTTCATGACACAACTGAATTATGTTTTTTTTTTTTTTAGAAAAAGTTCTTTCTAGTTTTATAAAAACTCAAATTTATAAACGCCTTTCCAACCCATAACATGGCGCCGAATCATGTGACCTGGGATCCATTCCACTATATTAAAGATACCGACATTCAGTGTCCATACTATATGTACTTTACTTATTCTGTGCTTATACTTATTCTGTGCCTCTATCATGTATCCAATAATAAAGTCTAGTGACTTTAAATCCCAAAGGAGTGTGCGCAAAAGCAAGTGCATTTAGTAAACTTTAGTGGATCTTTTTTGGTTAATAAAGTACTTTTTCGATTATCAGACTTTAAACAATGTCAAATTAAATTTAGGATGCAGTCGTAGATTCGAAGACGAAATCTTAACAAAATCAACTTTATTAATGTAATTTAACAATTGTATTATACAATTGCAACGATTGCAAAATGGTAAGTTTTAACTTGTCCAGTGTCAAAAGAAAAGTTAATACGAAGTAGTTTTTATTTTTAGGAAATGTAGTACTCATTTTTTTTCGTATCAAAATTTTATGTAACTTAATAATGATAACTTAATAATGAATAACTTTTATAATAATTTTGAGATTAATGTTTATATATTGCGATTATTTATATCTATAAAGACCAAGTATTAAAACATACATGTTAGATAAGTTGGATAATAGTAATTATTTATATTTTATCTTTTTCATTTTTTTTGCAGACAACGTTGAGACACGACATTGAACTACCGAACAACATTCCAAAATTATTAATAGAGAAACATGCAAACTATCTCATTTCATACGGGACCAACAAAGATGAATATGTAAAAATATTTCAATTATTTATATAGTAATTAATTATGATAAAATATATATTTTAACATATATACATATATATATATTTATTGTAACATATATTTTTTTTAAATATTTCACTTCATGTATTGACTCATATTTTTTAGAATTATTCTCAGACTGAACACATGAGGATGTCTGGCATGTACTGGGGCCTTACCGCTCTAGATTTAATGGGAAAGTTAGAACAAACTAATAAGGAAGAAGTGCTAGAATTTATTAGACAATGTCAAAATGACAATGGTGGCATCAGTGCCAGTATACAACATGATCCACATTTACTTTATACACTTAGTGCAGTTCAAATATTGTGTATATATGATGCCTTGGATGTAATAAATGTTGATAAAGTCGTCAGTTATGTCAAAGAAAGACAACAACTAGATGGAAGTTTTGTGGGTGATCAATGGGGTGAAGTAGATGTCAGATTTTCTTTCTGTGCCGTTGCTACTCTGTCACTTTTGGTAAATATCATTAAGTATAATTACATTTAAGTATCCACAAAATCAAAGTATTTTAAAATAGTAACACTTAATTTTTTAAATCAAAATGTATTCAAATGTGTGAAATGGAATGGATATCCTGGAAACTCAGCTTTCATGAAGATTCTTTAGCTTTAGTGGATTTAAAGATGATACTTATCAGATCCATAAAACCATAACACATCTTAGACAAAGTAAATTCTTGAAAATTTTTGCTTACGAATAGGAAGGTACTTATAAAAAAAGTTTAAATTCCTTGTATCGTGTTAACTTGTTTCAGAACTGCTTAGATGCAATAGATGTCGAGAAAGCAGTACAATTTGTATTGAAATGTATGAATTTTGATGGAGGATTCGGTTCAAAGCCAGGATCTGAAAGTCATGCGGGTTTAATTTATTGTTGCGTTGGATTACTTTCGATCACAGGTATATACAACAATATGCAGAATAACTACTACATACATACATAATATATTATTTCACTTAAGGTAATTTTTTAGGACATCTGCATCTGATAGATGCTGATCGTTTAGGATGGTGGTTATGCGAGAGACAATTACCTTCTGGTGGTTTAAATGGCAGGCCTGAAAAATTACCAGATGTATGCTATTCTTGGTGGGTACTGTCAGCTTTAACAATTTTAGGTCGTCTTCATTGGATAGATAAAAAAGGCTTGGTAATTATTTTTTAATAACATTTTATAAGATATTTCTTAATTATTCGATTTGTTGATCATTTCTGTCTTTCTTATAACTGTTTATTTTATTACCTTGTGCATATGTGCGTGTGCGTGTGCGTGTGCGTATGTGTGTATGCGCTCGCATACACACACACATAAAATGTACATATACATACACATATAT